TCCAAACTAATAGTCATGGAAATAAAAATGCCAGAAAGTTAATTTTCGTGTTCGGTTACATGTGTGAGCCACTGTATATATATATACTCTGATTAGAGATGTTAAAAGTTCGAGTTGGTTCAGGAGTCGAGTCTTAGTCAAACTCGGCTTTGAGTCAAAACACCTGATACACATATGATATATGTATTATTACATTGTACTAAATGTATTACAATTCCCGCTTCTTAACTGGTGCAAGTTTTTCGTTTTTTCTTCTGTAAAATGATCGTTTTCAAAGAAGTTTGAGTATCTTCAGCTTCGGTAAAAGAATTGTTAAATGGATAAAAATTTGTAGAGAACATCGAAATTAGCACATTTTGGTGAGAGATACACGGATGAATGATAGAAAAAAACAAGCAGCTTTTAAAGTCGTGTTTATTAATTAAATTTTCCACTTTAACCATTTTTGCTAATGCAATTATTTTTTATTTAAATGAAATAAAGGCTTAGGTCAATCAAATACATTATTATCAAGTGAACCCGAATCAGGTATAATCAGATGAGTGCGAATATATCTCAGTTATTATTTTGTCCGAAGTTTTGAGTCATCGATTGCTGATTCAATTTCCCATTCTCTATTAATTCTCTAAATTAGAATGTATTGATGGGTATTGGTTTAGGATCGTTAGTTACAGAGTCGTTGAGATCTATTACGTAGTTTTTATATATCTCTTTTTGTAAGATGATCAATAACAAAATGACAAAGAAGCGACTACTTACAAGAATCAATTATTCCTAAGCTTAGCTATTTTACATGTTTATAGTTATTTATCTGCCTCTTGCCACTACCAGCGTGACATCGTTTATTTATTAACTTGATTGATAGTATTTTGGATCACGTGACTATTTGGATCGGTTTGGAACAGCTCGATAAAAACAAACTCAAAAAACCGACTATGTGTGAGCATTTTAACATCCTTATCTGTGATATTACCATGTACTTTCATTAAACTACGTAATTTATCTTACAATGCATAATAATGCATCCGAATTTAGATAATTGCATTAACTGCATTTAGAAAAATTATATATGTACAGTATAAAAATTTTATTGTGTCGAAACTTTAAAATAGCATTATTTTTCGAAAAAAATTCGATTTGACACGATAATTCATTATGATTATTTTTAGTCGATACAAGCGAGCATGCTCATATTGTTTTATTAAGATAAAAATAGTCAATGACTATAGTATTCCTTGACAACCAAATTTATTACTTATTTTTATAATGCAGCAATATTGACAGACTATTAGTATTTTTGAGATAATTTTTTTATTAGCGCTTTATAGGCTTCTGTATTATCTCAACAAAAAATACTTTGTATTACTTTAGAAGTATAAATACGGTGCTTGCTTCAATTCTTAGGAAGATACGGTGCAATTTTTAGAGCAAAAATAAAAAACACATACAATAATAATAATAATAATTTGCATCAAGGTTTGATTTTTTCTTTTTATAACGGTTTTTAGTAAATGCATGACTTTATTGTTAATAATCATCATAATTCTCGCATAGATATGGATAGTAACTTAATAAGCAGAATCAATGAAATGCAGGAACATCCATTGGGACCTAATTATGATCAAAACAAGGTTGCTAGCCAACCAACCTTAAACTTATACAAAAACTTAAGCAAAGCACCGCAAACAAACGAGAAACTTTTAGCTGCGCTTAAGTGTTTTTTAGGTAACGTAGTAATTTTTTGTGAATACATGTATTATTTATTTGTCTATTAATTTGAATATCAGTTTAACTTATATAATTCATAATATTAGGCGAAAAAATACTTAACTCTGAAAATAAACCTGATATTCCTTAAGCTATAGTTTGTTATCCAGTTTTATGATAAGAAATAAGTAATTTAGAATTATAATTATTTCAGTGATACTAGATGAATAGGCAACTAAGTCTGATTCTTTATGAAATGCTTTTTGTATTGGTTCCGCCAAACCAATGTCCCACTTCTCTAAACTCGAATCACCGTATAGCAAGCACTGCTTGAAGCATCATTCCCCTGTAGAAAAGTTAAAAGTTAATCTAGTTCAATTTTTTTAAATAAACCTCTGTTCTCACATGAGAAAGCTTGCGTTTAATTACCCTTCACATACAATTTGCATTTTGGTTTGATTGTAAATAAAATCAAAAATAACTTGTGATTGGCTTGATTTGAATCAAATCAAATCTTACTGTTTTTGATTCAAAATTTGATTTTCTTCGATCGCAGTAAATCACAAAATCAATAATTGACTATCAGAAAATCCCTACTGCTTTTTTTAGAAGATATTAACCCTCAACATAAAGCAAAACCTAGACTTTTTAACCTCAAACAAAAATATAAAGTAAGACTTAGCAACAAGAACGTGAAATAAAGATAGAAAAGTTTTAGTATTTTTTTTTAATTTAAAGTTGGAAACAATATTTAATTTATAATTTACGTAGTGCATAATTTGCTAAAAATTAGTACGTACTTTGATACACTAAACACATTTGTCGTAAAAACATTTGACATTTATTTTCAGAAAATATTTTGCATGACTATTTTCAAAAATCAGGTTGTAAGACTTTTGCTAAAAACTTTGGTCGTACGTAATTACAAAAAATATTACATGTTCATGTAATATAAGTGTATCTTATACAATATTTTGTTCTTTTTTTACCGACGTACATGTATATCGATATGACAAAAATACGTATAAAGAAACCTAATTTGGAGTACAAGAAAGTAACACAAATTAAACTTAAGGTCACAAGCGGTGCACCAGATACATCAATCTGTCACGTATATCAAAACATGTCTGAATTGGTTGTTATTTTTGATAAAAAAAAATAAAATTCTGAATTCATTAACCTTATCGTTATATGTTCATTTAAAAATAACTGATTCTATATTAAGTGACCCCCTTAAAATTTTGCTATAAATAATAGATTGTAGTGAGATAATCTCAAAATTAGCTTCAATTGTTTATTTTACAAACTGTCATGATTTCAACAACCTGCTTGTTATTGTTCTCCTTAATCAAACATCAAACCATACTATATTCAAGGTTGAAATGGCTTGTCACTTTATTCTTCCATGCGTAGTTTGTATATATTTGTCACACAAAAGCAAGTAAACAATTAATACTTGTTGGTATAGCTTTATATTTAGTGACCAACCAAACTCATGGAGCTCAAAGGAGAAAATCTAAAAAGCAATCCGAAATTAAGCACAACCATTATAACAAAAAGGAATGCTTATCTGTACGGTATGCATAATAGTTCGGTTTTTATTATTAGAAGCAATATAATATTGCAGTTAATGATACTTGACGATGACGAAATCTTTCGCCATGGCAACTTTGGAAATGTAAGTGGTGAATGACGAATCGTGTGACGAATGACGAATCGTCTGACGAATGACAAATTGGCGAACTGAACCGTAAAACAATAGATTAAATCAAGCTTTATCAATTTCTCGGTTTAGTTTTTCTGTCTGCATAATTTTTACAAGTTACGTATGTATATAGATTATTTTCATAATTTTGATCGTCCATGGCCTTCGGCCAATCAAATACTAGATTTCTAATGTTCTTTTAAAATTCGGAAGTATCCATGCGCAGCACCATACCATATGATGAAAGTGTGAAATGTATAAAGGTTGAATTCGAATAAATAATTTTTTTCACAAATATTCGAACAATCTTCGTCAAATACAATGAATAATATGAAGTCGCAGACATCCATTATCGTTCTAGATGTAATGAGGCATTTTTACCATAGTGATAATTCACACTGCAATAATTACTCGAAAAATCCATCTTCGAATAAAATTAGATAAATATTCGAAGAACTCAAATGTATTCGAATATTTTTTTATTTATGAATATTCGAATAGTAGGATAGGATTGTAAATCATTTTTGTACATATTACATGTATTCAAGCTATTATTTTGATTTGTCAGAAGGTTTCGTCACATGTTTCGTCAATCGTCATAGGTTTCGTCCGACGAATGACGTGACGAAACCTTTCGTCATATAAAAATAGCTTCATTAATCGCAGTTCCTAATTAGAGCACTTGGCTCATTAAATTTTCAGAGAAACGATGAGCTAATTCTGACAATATTAGAAAGGGAAGGTGAATAATATGAAAGAACAAATGGATAATGTATATAGAAGTTTTAATATAAAAAATATGTGGACAAAAATACTGTGAAGTACAACTAAAAACTAACACAATTCTACCTTATTTTGTCGAAATTCTAATTTTAAAGTACCAAATTGCAAAAATTCCTCTATAGCTAACTTCCGAATTACTTCACCTTTTTTCAAATTACTTTAACGGTTCATAGAATATAACGTCGAAAAATTTTATTTTCTGCGAATTCGTCTATCACCTTTTTTATAGGAAGCTAAATTTTGAAGATCAACCAATCAGATTTAAGCCCCCGCTATGCTGGCTAAATATATTAGGTAATATTTTAGCATTTACTAATCCTCCCCGTTTTGATTGGACACAAGTAATTTCCATCGCTGATTGGTTGACTGTACACCGGGTCTAGATTAACAAATAAAAATGCATAAATTTTTTATCAATCCGGCAAGACAAATTGACACAAGAAAATTAAAAATGAAATATACAGAAAACGAATGCTTAAATCTGCCTTGAAGCACCAATAAAAAATGTCGGGGAAGCAATTTTACATATAACCTTGATCTCCACTCTAACCCTAACCCTAACGCTAAAATTAACCTTTAATATCCTCAACCAATCAGAACTTGGGGAAATTAGTAAATTCAATATTTAGGGGATGAGGGGTAGATCTGGATCTTAGGTGATGCATTTTTGATTGGTTATATAATATCTTACCGGGGATGGGGATGGACTTCTATCAAAATGATATTAGGTAATAAATGTCAGTGCCCTAATACGTACATGTATTATTAATAACAGCATTATTTTACTCCAGTAAATACATGTACATGTGCATGCACATGCTACATGTAACGGTAATACGTATATACGTATTTTATTTTACGTATATATACGTACATGCATTTGGTGTGACTTAGTTTAACCAATCACATCATCCATTCAATCATATTCTTAGAGAATTGTCTTTTGACAATAATCATGACTAAAGTTTAGCACCAATTCATTTAACATTAATCTCTTATATTTTGAATAGCATAATTTTTAAATTTAATTATAATCGTAATATAAAAAGATACTAAACCTCTCAATCTTTATAAGGCAAATTGTCATATTCTTGTTGTTTAAGTCTTGCTTTATAAGCTTATTGGTTTTATTTGAGGTTAATATCTAAAAGAAATTTCCCGAAAGCGAATATTGTGTATTATCTTTTAAGTAATCTTTGGAAATTTTATAATGAGAAATTGCACTATGATTTTGAATTATTCATTTTGCAAAAATTTAATTGTCTTACTAAAAATATAAACGAAATTAAGTTAGTTGTTTTATAGGGAGATTGTTTTAATTCAAGGTTGGCGGAGCCAATACAAAAAGCATTTCATAATGAATCAGAATGTCTACATATACCATGGGTTCAAACGAATTTCACTAATTGTTCGAGATCACAGTTTAACGACAACTTTATAATAATAGAGTAAATGATTATCTATCTCCTGTGCAGTTGAAAGAAACTTTGACATAGCAAGCAATTCTATAAGAAATTTGCATGTAATATATCTGTATGTCTGTAAAAGACATAAAAGGTCACTTTTATATGTGTTTTACAGACATATAATCACGTAAATCGCGTATGTAAAAATCCGTCCTACATCTATGTACATATTTACGTATATGCCTGTAAAAAACACGTAAACTGCGAGTTTTTACATGTTTTCCATGGAGGATTTTTTACAGACATATTGAGCCTGTTTATATTTTTCATTAAGAACTTGTATTATTTCTACCTTAAACAGTCACATAATTAAAAATTTACAGGCATATTTGTCTTACAGTGCTCCGCAAAAGTAACCGACCCCCATAACTTTCCGATAATCATGTGTAATGTTATGAAAATTTCCGGATACAAAGAACATTACAAATACTGATCATGATGCATAGATTGGTAAGCCATCGGGTATTGTATATTCATAAACTTTCATGCTCCAAATACAATAAATCGGTCACTTTAGAACATAATATCTCGATATCTAGTGGTCTTATTTGAGCGAAAATACTACCATTCGATTTTGCTGAATTTAGGCAAATCAAATGGTAGTATTTTCGCTCAAATAAGACCACTAGATATCGAGATATTATGTTCTAAAGTGACCGATTCTTATTTGTCGATCAATTTTTCGTTAGAAATTTGATTGCCAGAAAAATGAATCACGATCAGTTAATTTTAGATGTAATATCTCGATCTCCAGTGATCAGATTGAACATTAAGATGAATCGGATCACTGGAGATTGAAATATCACGTCCTAAATTGGCTGATTCATTTTTGTTAATGAATCTGCTACTTAACTTTATGATGCAATATTTCGACGTCCAGTGATCAAATTTGAACAAAAATATTACCATTTGATTCATCTCGACTAGGCGAATTGAATGGTAGTATTTTTTGTTCAAGTTTAATCAATGGATGTCAATAATTAGATTATGGTATATTGAGATGTGTGTTATGAAATAACTGATTATATTAATATGTGGAACGTGAAAGTTTATGAACATAAATATCCAATATAGAAGCTCTACAAATCTATAAAAGGCACCATGATCAGCATTTGTAATGTTCTTTGTATCCGGAAATTTTCATGATTCTCGGGGGGTCGGTTACTTCTGCAGAGCACTGTATAGAGCAAAATCTTA